GGATGGACACCCCTTGGGCCGTGAGTATCGTTTCCTTAAGGAACGACCACTCGTCTTGGACACTGAGTTCCTCTGCCCTCAAGGACCCCAGTGCCTCTCCCACTAATCTCCTCATCTCAATGAAGTTGGCCCTCGTGAAGTCTAGGGCTAGTGAACACTGTAAAGTGTTCTGGTGTCTTTTAGTTTCTGAAATGTATTTTATATATAACCCAGAATATAAAACATATAAATATAACCCATTTTATATATAACTTTATATGTAACTCGGAGAACAGATAACACCAGCAGCGTCTCCCTATCTCTCAGGAAGGGTGTTTGTGCCCAAAAGCTCGCAAAGAACATTTTTTCCAGCTGTTTAGCTGGTCTAATAAAAGATATCACATCTGCCCAAAAAACCTTGCCTGCCCTTTTATATAAAAAGTATTGTTATGCAGGCATAAAGAATGGGCATACATTTGATCTCTGGCTGCAGTCAGATACAATATTACGAAAACCCTGTGTAACAGGGTCCCTGTGGCCTCCATTCCAAAGAAAGAAAGAAAAGAGAGGAGGAGTCCTTTCAGAGGGACAATGCTAACTGTGAGGACCATCTTACAACAGTGTAAGGGAAGGGTTCCAGCAGCAGAGGAGAACAGAGCCAAAGCCCATTTTAAGGGCTTTCCGTTAAGAAGCCATAGGAGGTGGCATGTAAAGGGACCCAGAGGAGCCTTGGCCACAAAAAATGCTTTGCCCCTGTGAGCAGGGGTTGCTTGTTTCGAGTGACCTGCTTGCTCTGTTAGTATCAAGTTGTGTGGGGACCAGAGGACTGCACTGTGCCCAAAGAAGAGGGCACTGGTGAGCTGTCATACCCTGCCATGCAGTTTCATCCCATTATGCAATGAAAACTTATTTTCAAAACTACTCTGCATATGAGCTCAAAACCTTGGAAACTATATTGGAAGAGTAAAAACACCAAAAACTATTAGAGAGTGTTAAACACCCTTTTTTAAATACCCTATGCAGAAAAATCAATTTCTAGTATAATTTCAGTGCTTGATCTGTGCTTGGTTTTATTTCTTTATGTATCCTGAAGTGGCTGCCTCATTTTGCTATACTTTTTGTCAGAACTTCGTGGAACAATTCATTTAATTTTTCCTATGCATCTTTACAACAATCATAGGGGGAGTGTTACATTTTCATTAATTACGAGCAGAAGCATGCCATTATCTTGAGCTGCTCTGCTCTACATGCCTAAACTTTCTAAACCTGAAAACAGTTTCTACTTACTGTGCCAGTTATGCTGCATATAAGTTATTTTGCTTTTAATTTCATTATGGTGAAATTGGTCATTCTGTTGGATCTTAAGCAGCAATGTATAGTGTAATTGTTTCCTACTGGGTCAGGTCCTCCTGTTATGAACCTCTCTGCCCCCACCACTGATAATTAGTTCAGCTGAAAATTAACAGCTGCCACACTTAATGGATGTGAGTTTGTATCCTTAAGAAACCCCTGAAGTCTGCAGTAGTTATTGGAATATGTGTGAGAGATACTGAATTCCAAGATATATCCTTTTGTTTTATTTTTTTTTAATGTTCTTGTGAACAGGTTTTCACAATTTTCCTTTAGATGTGATCTTCAAATATGATAAGATAAAAGGGCAGTGGTATAGCTGTATTGAGGACAAGCTGACTGCATTAGGTCAAGATACTGTATTCAGTGCTGAAGTACATGAATCAGAATGTTTTGTGTTGATAAATCAGTATTTCTGATAAGATTTCATGCATTGGAAAAAAATTATCTCCGTTTGTTATCATTTAACTTATCTTTTTTGTTTTGATAGAGAATTTGACTTGGCCAGTTCTTATAAGACTGGCTATAAAATATGGTACAATATTTTATGGCTTTAGTGGTATATTTTAAGTAAGAATTATTTTCAAAGTTGCTATTCAGAACTTGGGCAGCAATGAATCTTCACTAATTTTAGTTTTCCGGGGAAGCAATGAGCCACAAGAGAGGCAATCACTGGGATTATGTGTGGGGGACAAGAATCTAAAAACTGGGGTACTTTTTTTACTCCTTCTGCCTGTCAGTGGCCAGGAGTTACCACAAGAGGGCTAGGGACAACAAAGGCCATGTCTGATGCTGTTGAATATAACGGCAAGTACGAAGACTTCCTTCTGCTTTCTTTTTACTCGCACCATATGACTTGAAAAAAAGAATGCATTTTTAGGTAGAATTTTGTGCCATAGCCCTTACGCATTTTAGCTTGCCTGCAGTAAATGTGCTTCACAAGAAGTATGTTTTGTTTGGGGCTGCATGAAACAGATTTCATGTTATGAGCTTTTCTGAAGTATAATAATTCAGCTGAACTTTTGTTTTATGCTTTCAGGACTGGGGCTAGATTCCTCTAAACTTCCCAGTCAGTTCAGTGTCTCTGATTGGCCTGAAATGAAGAAGGTGTTCGCAGATGTATTTTCCCAGAAGACCCAAGCGGAATGGTGCAGAATCTTTGATGGCACAGATGCTTGTGTGACTCCTGTTTTATCCATCGAAGATGCAGCCTCACACCTGCACAATAAAGAACGTGGTTCTTTCATAAAGAATGATCAGGACGAAATCAGTCCTAGACCTTCTCCTCTTCTTTCAAGGACCCCGGCAACACCCTCTCTGGGAAGGGACCCTTGTATAGGAGAACACACAGAAGAGATACTTCTAGAGCATGGCTTCACAAAGGAAGAGATTGCTAAACTTCATTCTGATAAAGTAATTGAAATCAGTTATCCAGAAGCTAAATTATAATCTCCAAATATACAAATCAGAAGTGTTTTTGAATATTTTAATGTGGCATAATTTAAGGTATCAAAATGAATGCAGTAATTTAATACTAATTATGCAAACAGTATTCCAAACTGGATTACCACACAATATTACCATTGATACTTTGTGCCAGGAGTTTTTGTTCTGAAAGTTCTCTAATGTTTGCTCAGGATGAAGATGTAAAGCTTCATAATGGTTTTCAAGAAGCATAGTTTATGAAATGTTGATTTGTTTAAATCCTTTCGTATGTAACTTGCTGAAGGTAATCATTTATATAAAACACTTGACACTTTATAAATGGTGTCACTTTCATAAACTGAGAAAGTCTTAGTTGTAGGAGCTCCAGTCTTAGGAATGATCAGACCTGTTGTCTACCCAAGTGAAACGTTCCCATTCTGTCTAGTTCACAGATATGGCAGATTTTTGTATCTCATTCAGAAGCTGTTTGTTCTTTGGGGTGGTTATTCTGCATTACAGAGCTAATTCTTCATTGAGGAACTAACTCCATGTTCCTTTTCCTGCTCCTTTCCAATTAAGGCATGCAGAACTGTCATAAACATTGCACACTGTGAACAAACAGATTTATTTATGTCACTAATGCCTGTGATCACTACACCTGATACGTTTCCAGCTTTGTTCAGACGAGCACTACTTGCATTCTGAGGAATTTCGTAGTGCTACAAAAATGTAGTGTGATGTGAATTCAGATACTCACAGTGCCCAGTCACTTACAGCACTAGAAAGAAAAAGCAGGAACGTGCACAACTGGTTCTTAGCAGCTAGAAGGCTGGTGTGCAGACATCCCAGCATGCCTTGTAGGGACCCAGTCTGAAGAATCCTGAGGACAGCTAAGCACAGCACAGCCCACATTGCAGTGGAAGTGTAAAGCCATGGTATGCCTTGTCATTCCCCACTCACAAAGACTTGCCAGTTATGCTCCAAGCCTGGAATGAATCCTTATTGCTTGCTTGTCTGCATCTCTGCAGGTCAGGGAGGTCGACTGTCCCTGTTGTATTTGTCAGAGCCTACCGGTGCCAGCTCAGCCTGTTCTTACACATCCTGGGTGTTTTGGCATGCAGCATTGTGGATGTACACGCTTACAGGACCAGTGCCTTGGAAATGTGTCCATGAGACTGCCCCATCTAGGTGTTGACAGACAAGAGCAAGTTGTCACATGGGACACTAGAGAGGCTGGGCTGCTACAAGAGTACTTCCAGACTCTGTACTGGTGCTTTGGGCAACAGAGCACAGTACAAACTGGTGGGAGCACATTGCCCCAGGAGTCTGGAATGACGAGCAGTGGCACGGAACTGGGCGCACCAGATCATCTTCACGAAGGTCTGCATCAACCTGGTTCCCAGGCTGGAGGGCAAGTTGTCAGTACAGGGACCCCCCCTTACTGTGGAGAAGCACATTGTCATAACCATCTGGAAGTTCACCACTCTGACAGTCTCAAGTCCATCACCAGGCACACAGCAGGGTAGGGAGCTGCTCCAGGGCTGGGCTGGGATCTTGCAGCAGTGACAGCATGATCCGGAGACAGAGCAGAGCCGCGATCTGCAGCCTGCATGCTCCAGGTGGTGGCGCGCAGGCATCTGTTCATGGCTTTGCCCTGGCTTCTTGCAGCGGTAACAGCATGGTCTGGAGCCGGGGTAGGGCTGCAATCTGCTGTCTACACACCCCTGTCCAGAGCATTCAGGCTAGATTTTGGAAGAGCAATCCACTCCTCTGACATGGTATAGAACAAGGTATGAAAGTGGGTTTAAAAATCCAGTATTTCTTTCTGTTCCAGTTGTGCTCTGCTGCTTTATTCATATGGTTTGTGAGACACTTCTGCAGCAAAAAGGACATTTACATCTAGCAGGTGCATTTCAAATATGTTTAGTACAGTAGAAATCTGCATATTGTCATTGGTTCATGTTTTCATTTAACATCAGTATTTAAAGTACGTTGCACAAAAATTGTAATACATTTGAAAATAATTGTAATTGTAATAATTGTACTACATTTTACAATTGTTTACATTAAACCATTTAAAAATCTGCTTTAAAACCACCATCTGGGGTTAGCATCAAACATTTTGTCTTTTGAAGGTGTCATGGCAAATCTTGGTCCTGGTTCAGAGATCCTCCCACATGAGAATCCAACACATCTGTACTGAACTTACTGGATTTGGTCAGACAGAAATATATGCCAAGCCTGCAGGTCATGGTATCAGTTATGTAGCTTTGTCAGGTATTCTGTAGTTTCCTGTTGTTTGGGGGCGGGGCAGGGAAAGGTGTTGCTTAAGTTCAAAATTCAAGTTCTAGTAAAGTGTACTTTGTGGATAGCTCAAATAATTGAATATTTTATTCTTTAGGTTCTTCTTCTATTTTATCTGGGTAGGACTTTTGTAAAATGTTAAAATAATTGTACTTGTATTCTTCAACTTTAATTTTCCTTTTTAGGTGACTGCTACTCACCTCCAGGCCTTTTGAGGCATGCTTTCTTTTTATCTATCTATTTACATATCCTCCTCAATCACCATCACCAATACTCATGCCAGCCCAGACTGGCAGTGTTAATGAAGGGATGGTGTGCTATTGACTTCTTCTGAACTTTGTAACGAAGTGCACACTGCCTGCAAAAATCACTTACTTCTCCCTAATAATGATTTCTGCAGCACCATTGTATGTAGACTGTTGCTGTAATTGCTTACTACAAGATTCTAACCTGAAGTAGCAATATCTGTATTTTTTGGTGCTTTTCTCATAGAACAAATCTTATCAGAATAATAAGTGCCTGGCATAGAGATTCTTTACTAGACTTCTGATATGGTCAGGGTCAGAACATCTCAAACTGCTCTTATGAACACTTTTCATAGCAACCTATAAGTCCAGTTTTCTACACACAAATATTTGCTTAGAAAATAAAATCAATTTGCCTGAGATTTCACCTGCATGTCAGGTAGAATATTTCTGCCACTTCAAGGCAAATAAGACATTTGGCGGGTGTGAGAACACCTAACTTAGAGTGATATGGTGTTTTTTGTTGCTGACAAGTGTTTTTTGTAGAATAACTTTTCGGACTATTCCTTGTTTTATCATGCCATTAATTAATTGAATGTGTGGCCGTGTCACAACTTAAGATGCAATTAACTGGTTAAACATGTCTTTAGATTAATATGTGGCAGGGGCCTGTGTAATACAGATATAGTGAAGGTTTGGTGGTGCAGTTTTCTAGAAATTTTTCCTCCAAGGGACTCATGAAGAGGTTGGCATACTGAGGGACTATGTTTATGCCCAGGGTTTGAGGGAAGTGACAGTTGTTGAAAGTGTAGTTGCAGGTGAAGATGAAGTGGATGATTTCTGCTTTAACAACTGACCTTTTCAAACCTGAAATTACAATGCCTGTTATGCTGTATATGTAACCCTGGGCATGATGCTACATGTGCCCTCACCTGAATAGTGGGATCCTGGCATACCCAGTAGCCGCTGGCCCTTCTCAGCTCCCTGGGTAGCTGCTGCAGGGTCCCCAAATGAAGAGCCTCCCCTAACAAACAGTCTTGCAGACCATTATAAAACTATTCACATAATTTAATTATTTACAAGGTAGTACATAATTAATACAATAAAATCAATAATGTTACACACACACAACCCAGTGATGGTGGCTTCAGGGTTAATACTTCTCTGATACACCTCACACCAGGGGGATACATACAAATAACCCATGATAAATAAGGAACTAATAAATACATCGATACACCAGCTAATAAACTAGAACTTATTTACACATTCAACATATAACTTGTATGCTGCAGGGTAACTATGAGGACCCTGTGTGCACTACCTCTGGCTTGGTCTCTCAGGGAGCAGGGCTGCATCTGTGCCCTGCACAGGAGCCCTGGGTGGTCGCAGCTGCTGGCATCCCTCTCCAAACTCCAGGCATCTCCATGCAGCAGGTGGTGGCTCCTCCCCTGTGGTCCCTGCAAGAGAGCTGATTCTTGCCCAGACCCCTGTCCCCTGGCTCAGCAGGGAGCAGTGTCTGGGCTGCAGGCTGGAGCAGTTCCCTTGCTCAGCACAGCCTCACAACATCCAGCAAATGCAGCCCTTCCCTGGGCCCTGCTCTGGCTGCAGCGGTCCCTGCCCTTCTAGCCCAGGGCTCCCTCCAGCATCCAACCCGGCCCCTCCTCGGTGCCTTCTTGCTTACAGGGAAACACTAGGGCAGTCTCCAGCCTCTCCCCCTGGCCCTGCGTCCTCCCCTGCTGTGCTCACCCAGCCACACAGGGCTTGGAGCAGGGTCTCCTCACAGGCAGCTCCTCTTGTGCTTGCCCTGGCAGGGCTCCAAGGGGGATTTCTGAGGCACAGTATGGCAAGGTCCTTTTCCTGTCCTCCAGCCTGTCTCTCTTCCCTTCTGTTCCTGTGTTGGGAAAACTGCTCCCCACTTCTAAACAAGCCTCCTCGGCCAATCCCAGGCCAGGACTCTTCCCGGGCTTTTGCTGAGGTTCCTCATTCAAACCCATGGGCAGCTGGTTCCACCTGAGTAGGGGGTGGCAGATGCCCCCCCCCCCCCAGCAGCCAGCCCCCATGGGTGATCTCGCCAACTTGGAAGCACGAGTGGGGACCCAGAAGTGCCAGTGGCGCTTTTCCTGGCACTCCCACTCCCCAGCCAGTGCTTGCAGGGAGGGGAGGAACAGTGTTCCCACCTGCCCATCGTCTAAGCAGGGAGAGCTGGCTGCCAGGGATTGCACCAGCACTCTCAGGGGGTGCACACACACTCCTGTGCATGCCCTACACATCGCCACTATTCAAACCCCTGCTGGGGTTACATTACTCCTTCCACTTCAAAGAGGGCTACCTCCAGAGCAGCTTCATTTGCTCTTAGGGTGGACAGTGTCCCTACTGGGACAAACTAGCTCTTCACACTGTCCCTCTGCAGGGCAGCCCTCCAGATCCCTTCAGGTAAGTACAATTTTAATGCTGCTACACATATAAAATACTTTGCCTTTAATTTCATCATGGTGTAGTTGGTCATCTTGTGGTATCCTGAACAATGCTCTATTGTTTAATTGTTTCCTATTGTTCATGTCCCATTATGATTCTCTCCACCTGAGCTGCAAACAGTTGGCTCAAGCTGAAAATGAACAACGGAAGCACTTAATGGGTGCAAGCATATAACATTTGAAAAACCTGCAGTCTGCAGTGGTTTTTGGGAAACTGGGCACGTCTGCATGTGCCACAATGGTGCCATTGTTACTGCACCGTCATTTAGTACTTTCTTTTGGAAGTACTAAAAGATGGTGTAGTAACAGCCAGTATTGCTCCCTGTGCGCCATGCACAATTATTGTTAGGCACTATGCCACTGTAGTGACTCACTATAATGGGGAGGGAGCATATTGCTATAGCAACGTAGCTGCGGCATCACAGGTTTTGCACGCAGATGCTATGCCACTAGCATGTTACTACAGCAATGTAACATCACATGAAAACACACCCACTGAATGGCAAGATGTGTTCTCTTGTTCTGCTCACAAGAACAAGCAACAGTAGACTTTGCTAATTTTCCTCAGCCACGATCTTTAAGTATAATAATGCAATGGGACTATGATAAAACAACATTTAGGGCAGGCTGACTGCATTAGTTAAAAACAGTTTTTTAAAAGTGTTTAAGGATACTGTAACAGGGGGCCTACTGGGGCCCATCTCCCTGTGGCCCACCCACCTGTTCTTGAGCTAACTGCCCACCTTCTCACCCACCACGCCTTGGTCTTAATTGATTAATTAATAGATGTAATTAGGCGGGAGGCTGCCCATTCACTGCCCCGCTGCTAGGGGGCGCTATCTGCGGCTCCATTCCTCCTCTACACCACAGCCCAAGCCTCACAGATGACATGATGTTTTCAAATGTGCCAGCCCCCCACAATGGGCCCCAGAATCCTACTGTAGGACCCCCCAAC